GGAATTGAGGAAAAAGCCCTGGTCTCGAGGACAAGAGACCCAAGTCTTTGTCTCAGCTTTGCTACAAGCTTTGTGTGACAGCCCAAAGAGAGTTTATTTCCTCCCTCTGGGGCTGTTCCAGTTAGGGAGCTAGAGGGGTGCTACAGTTTGAATCTGAATGTTTGCGAAATTGGTCTCCAACCCCTGACATCACTGGGAGGTGGTAGCACCTTTGGGAGGTGGGGGCCTAGTAGAGGAAAGTCAAGTCACTGGGAACACGCCCTTTAAGTGGGTATTTGGATCCTACCCGCTTCCTCTCTCTCTTGCTTCCCAGCTGCCATGAAGTGAGTGGGCCTCCTCTGTCACATGCTCGCACCATGATATACTGTGCTGTCCTAGGCTCAAAACAACAGGGCCAAGTAACCATGGGCTGAAATCTCTGGAATCCTGATCCCAAATCGAGCTTTTCCTTGACTGATTATCTCAGGCATTTTGTTAAATAATGGAAAGGTGACTTCCTTAGGAGGCCTCTGAGTGACCCCGACATTTACTTCTGCAAACATTTATCCACTGACTACATTCAGTCAATTTCTCACTGAAGACTTGTTCCAGGTTTCCTGGTGTTTGTATTATGTCCTTTACATCAAGACACTAGAGATTCAGAGAGAAATCAAAAGCAAAGGTTCAAAGAAGAGAGAGAGCAACAAATAAATTATCCCATAGGACTAGGCACATGGAGACACAGACTGAAGAGAAATCAGACGGATGCGGGGAGCCCAGAGGAGGCCACAATTAGTTCAGCTCTGGGAAGAGTTTTTAAGAAAGTGACCTTGGAGGAAAAGGAGGAGAAACGCTGCCCAGGGACCTGCCCCTTGGCCTGTGCTCTGTGGATTGGATTCTTTGGGGGAATTGCCTCTTTGGGGTTTTATATTTCTCGTTTGGCCTTCTGCAAAACTCTGGTTTTAGTCCTTCCCCTTCAAAGCTGCCTCTCCAGGGCTGCCTGGGTGATCTTTCTAAAAGTGACTTCCTGTTGCCCAACTTCAAACTCAAGTTCTTCAGCCAGGTAGTCAGGTTCTTCTCAACTGGCACTGGAGGCTACTTCCAGCCTCTTAGCCGGTTACTGTCCCATGCAGCCTTTGTTTCAGCCACATTAGACTATGCTAATGCCATGTCCTCTGCTCTGAGCCTCTGCTTATGTTGTTCCTTCTGCCTAGAATACTCTTTTCCCCCTAGGAAGCCTTCCTGGAAAACAGGCTGCAGTTAGAACTTCCTCTTATGTGCTTTCATAATAATTTATATGTCATTTCAATTATTACACCTAGCACTTTATACTGAAAGGATCTGTGAACTCCTTTCAGTCAGGAATTCTATTTGCATTATTTCTTAAAATGAAGAAGGCCGGCCACTTGGCAAAGGTATCATTACTAAGCAAGTAAATGAACGGAAGAAAGAGCTCTATTGAAAGGAAGAAGATAGAGTTAATTTAATTAAGTTCAAGATATTAAAATATTAACCTTTCCTTTATTACTCTTATTTACCCAATGCATTAGGCCCATAAGGTGGGAAAAGGAAGAGGAAGCAAAGTGGATTGGGGTAGGTTTGGTTATTTGGCCCTGCGTACGTAATGATTTCAGTACTGTTTTGATCTGTTTTCTGTTGCTGTAACCAAAGAACTGAATCCAGCTAATTTATAAAGAACAGAAGTTTATTTGGCAAAGGGTTCTGGAGGCTGGGAAGTCTAAAAGCTTGGCTCCAGCTTTTGCTTGGCACCTATTAAGGGCCTTCTTGCTGCATCATAACATGGCTGAGTATATCACATGGCAAAGAAAGCCACTAACACCATCATGGAGGGCCTACTCTCATTCTCTCATGTAATCTTAATTATCTCCCAGAGACCCTACGTCCAAACAGCATTAATGTATAAATGTGGGGATTAAGTTTCACTTGTAAGTGGCTTAAACTAATTTTATGTTAAAATAGTCATATAATAAAATAGATTCAAATCCAAATAATGTAAACATTTTTAGAATAAGCCATATGAAAATAATGACAGGTAATGTTTATTGAACACTTACTATGTACAAGATAGTTTATAACCTTTTCTTGAATGTTTTGCAGGCAATAGGCTATTTGATTTCTCCCCATGTCTCCAGGGGTGGGAGTTCCAGGTCTTCTAATTTTTGTAGTATGTCTGAGTTGGGTTGTGTACTTGAAGCCTGCATTTCCAGCAACCAGCAGTCAGCCTGTGCAGAGTTGAACCTCAATAAAATCTTGTAGAGAGAATTGATCCTTCAGTCTCCACTCCACTGTGAAATCTGACTCTCAACTATTTTTTCTTTTGGCTCCCATTGCCCCTGGGCTTCCTTCCAATTCAGCACTGAGCAACTGGAGTATCACTTTTTGTATACTTACTGGATCTTCAAACAAGGAGTGGGCAGCTCCTCTAGGATCTGGGTTTCCCAGCACCTAGCAAAAGGTTTGACATAGAGAAGCTCTCTTGGACATTTGTTAAGTGTCAATTACTATTCACAAGGGATCCTCCCAAAGGAGGAAGTAATTCTGTGCACTCTTTCTAGGCCCATTTTCTTAACTCGTACAGTCGGCTGAATGATGGCACACTCTGTTCTAACCCCTGGGACCTGTGAATATGACCTTATTTGGAAAAGGGTATTTGCCAATATAATTCAATTAAGGATCTCAAGATGAAATCTGGATTATCTGGGTGGGCTCTAAATCCAATAACAAATATTTTATAAGAGAAAGAAGACACAGGAAGAAGAGAAGCTCATGTGGAGATAGGGGAAGAGATTATGTAGACAGAAGCCAAGGAATTCTTGGAGCCACCAGTGGATAGAAGAACAACAAAGGATTCTTCCCTAGAGCCTCTGAGAAAGCACCTTGACACCTTGATTTTGGACTTTTGGCCTCCAGAACCCTGAAAGAATAAATTCATTTTAAGCTATCTAGTTTGTGGTAATTTAATTTGGTGGCTTCAGGAAATGAATACAGCTTAGAAACAGAAACGTATTTTCTGTGAAATCCCACCAGATCCTGGCACCACAGAGTTGAACTAAATTGAGATTTGGGATTCATAACTACTTTCTTCTCAACAAACACCTGACCACACAACCTAGGTTCCCACCATGATTCAGAATAGGAGGCGATGACATCTGTGTGATGCAGCTCTGAGATTAGATCCAAGGTGTTTTTCAGATAGTATGTTTGCCTTTTTAATTTTTTTTTTTTTTATGGTTCTCTGGTTTGAACCCAGGGGCTCACACATTTTTAGCATGTGCTCTAGCACGGGGCTACATCCTCAGCCCACTGGGGAAAAAACCCACAAAACTTAAATGCAGCTATTATATGTCAGTTGTTACAGGGGCTTGTGACATACATTACTTACTTATACCCCATAGCAACCCTATTACTATTTTACAGATGGGAAAACTAAAACTGAGAGTGGGAAATGGGCTTTTTGTGTTACCTAGAGAGTGGCAGAGCCAAGATTCTCAAAGTGCCTGATTTCTGTTGTGTCTGACTCTAAAGCACTGTGTTCTTTTTGCTACATCAGTCCAGGTGGTGTAGGAATTCAGTCTGGGGGGAGAAGGCACATCAGTATCCTGCAGAATGACTCAGTGCTATTTATTTTAGAAGCAATTGCATATAGATTCTACCATTAAGATCAAACAAATCTTCATGGAAGAGAAGGCATTTGAGCTGTTTGTTTACATCGAAAAAACAATTCCTTATTCTCTGTCAGCACTGAATCCAGGGATGAATAAGGAAATGTCTTCTTGCTAGAGGGATTCAGAGAGAGAGAGAGAGAGAGAGAGAGAGAGAGAGAGAGAGAGAGTGTATGTGTGTGTGTTGGGGGTGGGGCGCTCGGGATTGAGAGTAGCGATTGGTAGTATGTGTTAAACATGCCTATTAAAGGACAAGGCAGCTGGGCGAGGTGGCACAAGCTTGTAATCTCAGCCGGCCGGTAGGCTGAGGCTGGAAGATCACACGTTCAAAGCTGCCCTCAGCAATTTGGTGAGGCCCTGTCTTAAAATAAAAAAAAGGCCTGGGGGTATGACTCAGTGGTTAAGCGCCCCTGGATTTAATCCCTGGCACTCCCCCCCCCACCCCCTCCCGCCAAGAAACAACAACAACAACAAAATCCCACAAAAACCCCAAACCACCAAACAATGCAATAGAATAATCAGGACTATGGTATAGGAAAGGTTTCTAACTCAAGGTCCCAGCAAAGATTTGGTGGGTAAGCAAGTTTTAGGGAAAGAAAAGTAGCAAAGGGTTTCCAGAGACAGCAGAAGCAACCCATCGGTATAGATGAAACAGCGTTCTGGGCAGTTGGCACACCTTTTGGCTCCAGAGTACTAGTTAGTGGAGTGCGAGGAGGGGCGTGGACTCGAGGGTAGAGTTGGTCGTGAAAGACTGGTGGGACTGCCGGACAGGACTCTGGTTTCATTCATCCTGCGTGGTAGCTCTCTGCTAAACTATAAAGCATTCCTTTTTCGTCTTCGCACGTTGATTATAACACCTCGGCAAAAGACTGCTTAAGGAGCCTGCAATGACTCTGCTCTAGCCTAGAGGGTCTCCGCCCTCTACCGGAGGCCTGTTACCATGACAACTAGGTCAGGGCGGAAGTGGCTCAGAAGACTGATTCTCACTAATCAGGTGACGCTCCAGCCTTCTGCACGTGACTCCAGAGCTGAGGAGCGCGCTCTACCTAATCAAGACCCCGCCCCTCTTCCTTTACTGACAATTGGCAGCAATCTTGAGCAATGGCCTTTGCAGCACCCCAGGAGGCTCCGCCCCTTACTAGTGAAAGAACCAATAAAAATAGGACAAAATGAAGCAACGCCCCAAATTTCATCCCGGCTTGACAGACGCAATTGAGGCCATCCTGGAGCGCCTCTGCCCCCAGCCCATTCCGGCCGGCGACGGACTGACCTGTTACCCAATAGCAAGTCCCTTCGCTGCCGTTGGGTCCCGCCCCTGTAAGAACGGAACCAATGAGTGGGCCAGGTCTCAGCCCGGTGGAGGGGGTTGCACTGCGGTAATATGGCTCTTCCTTAGCCAGAGGCAGCGGCCAGCGCGGGGACAGAGCAGTCCTGCCTCTCGGGTGGAGGGTTGTAGGCAGCAGGGGCTCGGAGGGTCGTGGGGACTAGGCAGCGGCGGATGCGGGAGGAGCGCCCGTCCCGCCGCCTGGCGGCCGCTGGGTCAAAATGAGCTCCTCAGCGTCGGTCGGGGGCCCGGTCCCGCCGCCGCCCCCGGGCCCGGCCGCCGCGCTGCCGCCAGGTTCTACCGCGCGGGCCCTGCATGTGGAGCTGCCGTCTCAGCAGGTGAGCGCGTCGGCTCGTGGTGCTCAGTAGGGACGGGGAAAGGCCCGTGTGGAGACTCGGTGGCTCCGGCTGACTCTGCGTTTGCCGGGATACTCTGGGAAGGGGCCGGGGAGCTGAGGTGGGCTGTCAGGAGGTCTTGAGGGGAGGGGTCCAGCGATGGCCGAACCTCTGGGAGATCCCTGTGCCCCTGGAGTATCCCAGCGCCTCAGATGAGCTTGTGAGGAGACCGCAGAGAGCCAGCCAAACTCCCCGCGGGCTCCCGGGCCCCTCTCGCCTTGTAGGGATGGGGGATTCCTTTGCACAGACCCTCCCCTCATCCCTCCTGGGAACGCACCGGAGAAGCCCTGTGCCCCAGGAGACGCGGCAAAGCGCTTTCCCTTTCCGTCCCCACCCGGAGAAACCAGTTGGTGTTCTGCTGCTGGAACAGCGAGGAGTTAGGGTTTCTCGCACTTACTCTCATCTCCCTTTACTACGAAGTGCTCTCCTCCGTCTCTCTAGAGAAATGTGATTGGAACTTGGAGGTTTCCTTTCCAATTCTCAGACCCCCAAGGAATGCGACTTAGTAGTAAAGTGTACTCTTTGCTACTTCATTCCCTCCAGTGACTCTCAGGATGGAGGGACTTCTCTTTGAAGGCTTCTCGATCCACATTGTTGAAGGATAAGAAAGAGGGAACAAAAAATTTGGGGATCTGATAAACATCTGTGATATCCACAAATCTGTAGAGTTTTTTTCCTCCTATTGTCCTTCTTCTGTTCCCCAAAGGGAGTTTTTACAGAAATCTTAGCATTAATGAGAGAATTAGAGTGTCTTTCACCTTCCCTTTATTCCTCCTTCCCAGAAACGGACCAAAACAAACTGTCAGTCATTGAGAGTTTACCATGCTGGGTTTGAGCAGAGTGCTCAGTGGTCATTAGCCATTGAATCCTCATAACACTATGAGATAGCTGTTTCTGTTATTCCCATCTTGCAGTTAGAGAAATGGAAGCTTTTTCCAAAGCCTTCCTGTTAGTAAAGGCAAAAGGTTTATACCATCTGAGAGAAACCAGAGTATAAGCCTTGCTGTTAGTGAGTGGTGGGACTGGCTTTCAGAATCCAGTGTCTGACTCTGTAGTCCCTGCACAGCATTGTTTGCTTGAGGCTTGAGCCACCTTCACTCATAACTTCACATAGGACAGAGCAAGTTCCTTCATACTCTTTCTGTAACTTTCCATCTCTGCTCTGGGGCCTTAGGAAGGGTTCGTAAAGAAGAAAGCAGCAGTTGTGGGGAGAGGGTGAGATTGGAATGAATATTATAGGAAAGCAGGAGACTAAAGGGAAGAGAAAAGTTGGAGATAATAGTCACAGTGGTGGCTATTGAGTAGGGAGGTAGAAATGTTTGCAGAAGCAAAGCTGTGGTAGAAGAGGATTTAAAAGAACAGGGTAGCATGTGCCCTGATTTTGTGGTGGTGTTGGGCAGGGAATTTATGGAGGATCTTAGGAGTTTGAGGGTAGTGAGGTTTGGATTGTATTATGAAGTCTTGGGAGAGGGTACAAATGTGGCTGGGAAGATAGGTCTCTGAATTGAGCTTGAATATGAATTTTTTTGTGTGTGTGAGAGTGAAAGTGGAGTGTAAAGGTGGATATTGGGAGAGGCAATGGTGGGTACTTTTAGAAAAAGCATGGAGAAATCCTGAGGAGTTGGGACCAAGAAGGGTTTAATTTGGGGGAGATTTGAGAATTTGTGGGATTAGAAAAGAGAAACCATCATTTACTTGATAAAGTCTGTTTTCTGATAACAGTTCACAGTTTAACACTAGGAGAATAATCTGAACAAACTGTTCATGGAATAAATTGGACCGCATTTGTTAGTGTTTATCACAGTTTTGGATTGATGCCAAGGGATATATAGTGGCTTGAGTGTGCAGCTGAATGCTGCAGGAGTGCTGAGTATGCTATTTACAGCTTTCTGGGGGTGTCATCCTTCTTGAATTCTTGGAAGGCAGCCTATATAACAAAACACTTTTACTTTTGTAGTTGATATTAATTTAGCTTTCTGGATCAAAATGTTCATCTTTTTAGGGTATGAATATATACCATTAAAAATAAACATTTTTTTGTTGATGTGTTATCTATATAGAGTAGTGCACAGATTATTAGTATACCCCTTGCTGAATTGTCACAAAGTGAGCACAGTTATATAACTATTACCCAGATTAAGAAATGCAGAATTATGAACATTCCAGAAGTCGTTCTTGTGTTCTCTCCCTTTCCTTTCTCTCCAAAGGAACCACTTTGATTTCAGAAATCAGTTTTTGCCTGTCTCAGAACTTTATGTATTATTTCAAAAATGTAGATAAATTGAAGAGTCAATTATTGTCTTTAGAATAACACTTTGAAAATTGTGGATGTCAATACTTCCCATCCTAGCTGACAGGGTGTCAGTATTTCTAAACAAATAAACAAACCCTTGTTGATTTAGGACTTCTGTGATAATCTCAAAGTAGATTTCAGTGGTCCCCTAGCCTACTTGAAGGTTGAGTTTCTAAGACATGGCACCATCAACGTTTTGGAACAGAGCAGAGGATATAAGATGTTTAACCACATCCCTGGACTCTGTCCATAAGATTCCAGCAGCACCTCCCCAATCCCGACGATAAAAAAATGTGTTCACATGTGGCCACATGTCCTACAGGGAGACAAAACTACCTCTGATTAAGAAATACTGTTCTAAGGCATATTTTTTATTTTAGGATAGAGTATCCCTGCTATTTTATACTTATTTATTCCAACTTTATTAAGTCCCATTGATTCTAAAATGATTGTAATATTGAAAATATTAATTTACTATATAACATGAATTCCAAAAATATTAGACTTCTCTTGCCTCATCTGCCTAAAGAGATTTGTTTTTGCTCACAAAACTATTTATAAGACCTGATTTATTTATCTTATTTTAATTTGCTTATCTTAAAAAAGTCACCACTAACTCCTGGACCTTTGTCTTAACATGTGTGAGTACTAGCTATCATGCAGATCAGCTCCTCTACTGGGTCAAGCGGCACTACTACTTTGTTTCCCTTTGCTTTGGTATGTTCTTACTTTCAATTGTAATTTAAGCATGAAGTAGTCATACAATTCGAAGACTCTTTTTGCTCTTTAATTTTTGGTTGAGGTTTGTAATTAACAGGTGAATGAACATAGGCTCAACTGAAGAATAACTCCCTTTACACCCTTAGATGTAGGAGTCTTGGGATAAAAATTTGTGTTTTTGTGGTAGAGGCATTTAGTATGTTCTTAAAAGCTTAATTGGGAGAATTTCTTTCCTCCCCAAAGGCTTCCTCTCTTGGGTATAACTTAACTACATTCCTCAGATATTCAGTATCTTAGGAGGTTTTTTAGTGATTATTTAGTAACCCTTTTCGAAGGTCACATGTTTCTTTAAGATTCAGTAAAAGCTGTGGACGCTTTTCTTAGAAAATATACTTACGTATATACATGCACACACAATTTTGCATGCAGTTTTAATCCCCTTGAAGTATAAATAGAAGACCTCAGAATTAAGTATTTCTAACTTGGTTTAATTCCTTCCTTTTAACAAGTTTTAAAATTCACCAAATATTATTTTTTGGACAGTTTTCTATATCAGCATATATACATGTCACATTTTCCATGATTTTTTTAAACTAACGCCCTATTGATAGACTTTTGGACTATTTCCAGCTTTTCTCTATTACATCGTCGCAGTGAATATCCATATACAGAAATCTTTGTAGTCAAAAGAATGGGTGTGTGTGTGTGTGTGTGTGTGCGTGCGTGTGTGTAATGAAATATGGGTATATGTACACATGTTGTTATTTTATACTTGAGAAGATACTGGCTAAATGTTTCTGGAAAAGAATGTGCCTATTTACACTTCTACCATTAAACTAATTAAAGGACCACATTTTTTCTTTTATTAAATTAGTTTTATTGAGATCCAATTTGCTAATCACAAAGTTCACCCATTTAAGTATAAAATTGAACACTTTTTAGTATATTCATGGAGGTATGCAATTATCATCATAATGCATTTTAGGACATTTTCATCATCCCCCAAAGAAACCCAGATTAATTAGCAGTTATTCCCTATTCAAGGGCCCACATTTTGGCCAACTTTGGGCATCATAAGTTTTCTCATCCTTTTCCAACCTGATTACATATATACAGATTACATACATATACACATATACATAGTTCATACACATCTCTATATATTTTTGTTATTTAAATTTTCAGTTCTTGGGCTGGGGATGTGGCTTAAGCGGTAGTGCGCTCGCCTGGCATGCGTGTGGCCCGGGTTCGATCCTCAGCACCACATACAAACAAAGATGTTGTGTCCGCCAAAAACTAAAAAAAATAAAATAAAAAAAAATTCAGTTCTTTGATTACTTGTTATATTTTAACAGCTTCATTCATTATATAACAGATAGCATGATAAGTACATGATCTCATTTATTCTGTCCATCCCTGTGAATCTGAATGTCTTTCCATTTAGCATTTTAATGTATTTTGAATTGCTTGTTCATGTCCTTAGCATTAATTTTTCTAATTGTTTGCTCATATTTTTTGTTGATTTGAAAACTATTTTTTTCTTCTCTTGTTTTTGGAGGGAGGTGGGTTAGGGATATCAGTCTTTATGAACCTTGAATTTTAAAAATCAGACTTTTTAAAGAACAGTTTTAAATCTACAGAAAAATTGAGAAGATAGTATGGGAAGTTCCCATATATATATATACCTTACACCCAATTTTCCCTATTCTTTTTTTCTTTTTTTTTTTTTTAAGAGAGATAGAACTTTTTTAATATTTATTTTTTAGTTTCGGGGTACACAACATCTTTGTTTGTATGTGGTGCTGAGGATCGAACCCAGGCCGCATGCATGCCAGGCAAGCGTGCTACCGCTTGAGCCACATCCCCAGCCCAATTTTCCCTATTCTTAACATGTTCCATTAATATGGTACTTTTGTTTTTTAATAGCCAA